TACAAGACCCTTCATCATAGCACCAAGCCTAAAATTCCTTAATAGAAAACAGTCCACAAATACTCCAGTGAATTTCCCACAGGTATAAATTAGGCAAATATCATTAATATCCTCATTTACAATCATCAATAAATAAGTGTGCACATTCATACAATTGTTTGTACAAAGATCCCTTTTTACAAAGCTACAGCTGTGTGTACACTAAATAGACAAAATAACCCTCGTACTGCAAAACAGCATCTCTGTGTTCCATAGTGCTCCGCCAGCCCGCGGTGAGAACCCTCCCACCGCGCTGTGCACGCTACCCTGCATGGCACCCCCAGCATGAGCCCCGCTAAACACACGCCTGAGCTGGAAAAGAGCAATGCCCACCACCATCCAACACACATCCTCTGCCCAAGTCCAGGCCTTTGTCCCGACCACGCACAGACGGCGATTTTGCCAGCTTCCCTCCTCGGCTGGTGTCACAGCACCGTGCGAGGGCCGCTGCCAGCTTCCTCAGGGGCAGTGTCAAGGGCAAAGGGCTCTGGAGGCACCCCCCTCCCCCACACCAACGTGCCAGCCTTTGGCTTAGGCTTTAAGGGATCCAATGCCAGCATGCACAGGCCTCTGACTCCAGAGGCCTTTCTGTGCCCATGCCCTGAGTCTGCTGGGGGGAAGGAAACAAGGTGGGAGGAGGAGGCAGGGCTAGTGGGTAAAAGCTACTTATTCCTGCAGCTGAACCTCTCACCGCGAAAGAAATTCCCTGGGAAACCGCCCCCGATGCTGACGTAGGAAACCCCGTTGGAGGAGCCCTCGGAAGGAGAGCCCACGTTCTCCTGCAAACGTCCATCCCGCCCGCCCCTTTACCATGAACTGCCCTGTCTTTCCTAACCCTTCCCAGGCACTTTCTCAGCACAGAGCAGGAGGCAATGCTGGAAGCTTTGGCATTAGCTCGCCAATACAGAGGTACATTTATTTTAAGCAAATAGCCACGCGCTGAGCTTTTATAAAAATAAACTTGCTACGGTTCAGATTTTAAAATCTAGGACTTTCCAAAGAAGTCTCCCGACGTCCAGCCCAGAGAGGTGAGGGCACGGTTCCAGGTGTGGCGGCAGGCAGCCGCGGCCAGGGCGCGGTTCCTGGGCGCGGGCAGCTTGTCCTGGTTCGGAGCAGTCGGCTCTCTGGGTGGACGCTCGCAGCGCTCCCTTTAAAAGTGCTTCCGCCTTGCAGGGCAGTTAGGAAAACTAACGTTTTGTGGCCGCCCTTTCCCCGCACACTGCTCAGACTGACCTGCGGGGTGGATAGAAGTGGCAGCTGATAACGAGATGTGTTCGATGTGTTTTCAACAACGCCAAGGTCATGACTTTTAGACTTAAAGGGAAATTACGACCCATCTCAGCCCAACCAGCATGACTTCATCCAGGAAGCCCGTGTTCTCCATCCGTCCGTGCTGTCCATCCCACGAGGACGGTGCCTTCCATCCCACAGGGACCGTGCTCCGCCCAGGCCGCTGAAAGCCCTCCGCCCTGCTCTGGGAGCACCAGCCAGGGGCGGAGGAGCGATGAGGCGAGGGACAGGCTGCACAGGCAACGGAAGTCACTGACGCCTTCCAGGTCACAGCCTGAGGGGTCACTACGAACAGCCCCCGAGGCACCTGACCTGACTCCGTGCCTCCGCGGGCACTGTGGTGAGGGCACAGGCATGGAAGCGGTTGGGGGGGCCACACTTGGGAAGCGGGTGAAGGAGGCGCTCCCACCTCAGAGACGGTGTGAGCTGACCACAGAGGCCCCTGAGGGAGGTCTCCCAGCAGACAGGAGAGGGCCCGTCTCGGGACTCTGGCGGGGTTTCCGGAGTCGTCCTGGATGTCTGAGAAAGCCAGAGCGTGAGGGAGAGTTCCTATGACCGTGCTCCAGCCGCAGAACCAAAGGCAGATCACATTGGAGGGGGGGGGGAGGGGAGAGGAGGAGGGCATTATTTCCCACCTGCAATTCTGCACCCAGCCACACTGGGTAAAGGCAGAATGAAGGTACTTTAAGTTATGCAAAAATATCAAAATACTTACAGCCCAGCCGGCATGGCTCAGTGGTTGAGCATCGACCTATGAACCAGGAGGTCACGGTTCAATTCCAGGCCAGGGCACAGGCCCAGGTTGTGGGCTCAATCCCCATTAGGGGGCATGCAGGAGGCATCCGATCCATGATTCTCTCTCATCATTGATGTTTTTATCTTTCTCCCTCTCCCTTCCTCTCTGAAATCTATATATACACGTGTGTGTGTGTGTGTGTGTGTGTGTGTGTGTATATATATATATATATATATAGTTACACACACACAAAAAAAAAATCAAATCAACGGGAAATTTGACAGGAAGGAATAGGTAAGCACAGAACACTGCTTGGTTCAGGAGCAAAAACAGTCCTCACGCAGCCACTCCGAACAGCGATGCACAAACATATGATCTGGGTTCCCTGGCAAGGCAGAGCGCGCGCCCCATCTGCCACCAAGCAAGCAGGCGATGCTTCTAGATTAATTAAAAAGCAGAAGCAGGAGCGTGCTCTGCAGACACGCAAAGCCAGCACGGGAGAGCCGAGAGCGTTACTTCCAGAGAAACAGACGGGGGGAGGGGGGGGTCCACTGGGAGCCTCACAGCCTGCGTTTCTTTTTAAACCACGAACACGGATTCCCTGGACTAGAGTCTGAAGTAAATTGTTTTTAAACATTAAACCCCCGGGTGGCTTGTCCCGCAGGCTTCTCTAGCCACCTTTTATAGCCAGCGTTTTCCCTGTGGGCCCCTCCTCAAATGAGAAATGTTTTCTCCTTAAAAAAGAAAGAGCTCAGTTGGCTGCCGACCTGAGCCAAACGACGTTTCGGCATCCGGCCAGTGGGCGGCTGTGGGCAACACGACACGCTGTGAGGGGCGAGAGAAGCGGCTGGACAAGGGCCAAGCATGGACGGAATGTCTGACGCCTGAGCCAGCCCTTCCCCGGGTGTCGGAGCATCTGCGTGGGGCGGGCGCCGTGGCACTCGGGGTTCTCACACCCCTGCATCGCCCTCATGGTCTGAGCCTGCGGGGACGCCGGGCGCCCATCGCCAGCCCGTTTCCCACGGACACGAGCCTTCTGGGCGGACTGGCTCCAGCTCCCGCAGCTGCGGCTGAGCCGGCGGGGTCGGCCCGCGGGGAGAAGGGGCCGAGTCAGAGCGGCCGGAGGCAGATGGGCTGCGGGTCCCGTGGCCACGCTGGGGCTCTGCCGGCCGGAGCCCCGCTGCCGGCACAGACGAGCCCGGGGCTGGGTCAGGGGCACGCGTGGTCCTGGATGAGGGCAAGGCCGGCCTGTCGGCGGTCACGGTCCCCGGCAGGAAGAGGGGGCGGGCTTGAGAGTGAATAGAAGCTCTTCGTGGGAGACATCCCGGCACAGAACTGCGGCTGGAAGTTGGCCTGGAAAATCTGGCTTTGCGTCCAATCAGGTCATTTTTATCTGATCACTCTCTCTCTCTTTAGGACTTTCGTGGGCACAACCCCTGAGGTTTGTCCTGCAGGCTTCTCTACCTCCTTCCACATCCAGCGTTTTCCCTGGGAGCCTTTCCTCAAATGAGAGGTTTCCCTAAAAGGGGTGACTCTCGGTTGGGTGTTGGGCGGCGTTGGCGAGTCTGCTCCTGGTGGGACGGGCGACCTGGGCCAATCCCCTCTGCCTCTCGGGGTTCAGCTGGACCAGATGCTGTCTGAGCGGACAGCTTGTTTACAAGTATCCCCTGACTTAAGCTCAATGGGGAGGAAGCCACACGGCCCCCGGGACCTGCCCCTGCAGGAAGCAGGCGCAGAGGGGGCCCAGCTGGAGGGCGGGGGCAGCTGGTGCCTCTCTCCCAAACCGCCGGCCTTTTCAGGAAAACCGTCGCGAAGGACCACAGAGGGATGCCTGAGCCGAGGCCGCAGGCCAGGCAGGTGCGCCCAGGCCGTTGGGGGCAGGAACCTGCTGGACCACGTCCAGCAGTGCCACCAGCCGGAGCTGGCTCTGGCCCAGCCTCTCCGGTCGTCCTCCTCCGGCTTTCTGCAGTGCAGGTGGGACCTTGGGGTTCGCACAGACCCCCCGGGAGCCCTCCATGGAAGCCAGGGGGCTGCCCAGGCAAAGTGGCAGGGGCCCAGGCCCGCCCCGCGTCGGCCAGAACTCAGCTTTTGATCTATCATCCAGACCAGTGGTCGGCAAACTCATCAGTCAACAGAGCCAAATATTAACAGCACAACGACTGAAATTTCTTTTGTGAGCCACATTTTTTAAACTTAAACTATATAGGTAGGTACACTGTTATTAACTTAATTAGGGGACTCCTAAGCTGGCCTTGGCTAAAAACTCAAGGGGCCAAAGAGCTGCAGTTTGCTGACCACTGATCTAGACTGCCCTCACTCTGCCCCAAGAATTCATTTGAAAGAAGGGTTCCAATGGTGGAAAAGATCTGAAAATCCAGGCGCCCCCCCCCCCCCCCCCGGGGCCAGGTCAATCAATGCAGAGTGAATTTAAAATGCACCCTTCCCGCTCTGAGACAAAAAATGTGCCCGCAGCTCACAGCGAGCGGCAGCTGTGTGCCCCCCGAATGTCCCCCACCGCCAGACCGCACAGGCGCACGGTCACCAGGCACCTTTGCTCCAACACCCCCCCGCCCCAGGAAGAGGCGGAGGCTCTGCCGGGGGCACCCACCCCCTTTCTCATCGGGAGCGGAGCGGACCTCGAGGCACCCGGACCGAAGGACCCCGTGTGGGGCAGGCTGAGAGCGGCTATGGCTAGATTCCATCAGAGCAAGGCACGCAGAACCAGGCCCACGGGGGACCCGCACCCCCCCCCCCCACCTCCGAGGACGCGGCCTGAGAGGACGCAGCCTGAGAGGAGGAGGAGGAATGGTGAGGAAGCAGCAGCGAGTGCCCACGTCTGCTGGGAGACCCTCAGCTGCCCGCGGAGGAGCCGCCCAGGCCGGCGGGAAGGAGCAGGCAGGCCCGCCGGTCCGGTCTCTGTCTTTATTGGCAGCGCTCAGAGCCGGTTCACGTCCAGCTGGGGGAAGAGCAGCAGGCAGTACACCAGCAGCCAGAGGAAGAGGAGGAAGTACATCATGTCGGGCTGCTGCACGAACTGCGCCAGGGCGTCGCTGGGCGGGCTCTGGCTGTCCCGCGGCGCGGCTTCGCCCGAGTGGTTGGCCTTCCTGCAGGAGGGAGACACGGCCGTTACAAGCGGGGCCCCGGGCGGCGGGCCCCACCGGCTCCCAGGCTCCTACCCCACAGCCCAGCGGGAGAGCTGCGGGCACACGTAGGCCCACGGAGGGCGCTAGGGGCCAGGCGTCCACAGCACGAAGAGGGAGGAGCTGCTAGCCCATTGCACAGACGGGCACACTGAGGCTCGCCGGGGGACGGGGCTTGCCTGGGGCCACACAATGACTGTGATGGAGCTGGGCTCTGGCCCAGGTCTAACTCCCAGGCCAGGACACCTTCCTTTCCGCCTCAGTGGCCCTCACACAGCTGGACACGGACAGTCTGTGTTTAGGGACAGAGGGGATGTCCTGGGTCATCGTAAGGAACAGAGCATTCCCTGATGTCAGATCACTTGAAAACAGCCACCAGAAACAAAAGCCCCAAACCAGAAACGACCACCAAGTTTGGCTTGGGGCTTTGAAAATAATGACTAGATTTGCTTTTGGTCAGATTAGTCTTTCTTTTTCTTCTCCCCCCCCCCCCCAAAAAAAAAAAAAAAGATAGCATTAAAGTGACCTCTAGCTTTTGCCTGGTGCATAGAGCCCAGAAGTTCCGAATGTTCACCAAGGAAAGGGCTGGGGGACACCATCTGGCTGAAAGAGGTGCCGGGAGCCTCTGCGTGAAGCTCACTGGGATTTGGGGGGGCTTGTGCCGGAGGCTCTGAGAGGGAACAGACACTACTCCATCCCGACTGTGTCCCGCACAGGGACAGGCCCGGCTAGGCGGGGCTGACATCAGCCTCGGCCTAGGACAGTGGTGGGCAAACCTTGGCTCGCGAGCCACGTGCGGCCCTTTCGCCCCTTGACTGTGGCTCGGCGTTAGAACCACTTCTTCAAAATAGACTCGCCCAGGCCGACAACCGACAACCTGTGGTCTGCGCACAGGCCACGAAGTTTCAATCGCAGTGTGCGTGCGCGCCCACACGTGGTATTTTGTGGGAGAGCCGCACTCAGGGGCCAAAGAGTCGCATGTGGTTACTGAGCCGAGGTTTGCCGACCACTGTCCTAGGAACCCAGTGATTCACATGCAGAAAACGGACAACGGACAGGGTTGCTTTCTCTTTCTCAAAACTGTTTTTAGCGAAAATTTAAACTATATTCTTTATTGCAAAGGTAATAAATGTTCAAAAATCATGGAAAACGGCCCTGCTGGTGTGGCTCGGTGGTTGAGCATCGACCTGTGAACAGGAAGTCACCGCTGGATTCCTGTTCAGAGCACAGGCCCGGGTTGCGGGCTCGGTCCCCGGGAGGGGGAGGGCCGGAGGCAGCCAATGATCCAGGGTTCTCTCTCATCACGGATGTCTCTCTCCCTCTCCCTCTCCCTTCCTCTCTGAAATCAGTGAAAATGTATATATATTTTTTTTAAACGATGTGGAAAACTGACTGCACGTCTCCCCCTTCCAAGTTCCAATTTCCCGCGTGACTCCCTCATAAAAGCTAAGTGCTGTTTCCCTGGGAACCGTGTCAAGCCTCACGGAAAATGTGAGTTCATCTTTCCCCGCCAGGGAGGGAGAGGGGAGCGGGCCTGGCCTCTCGGGAGGAGCCAGAGGTGGGATGCTGGGCACCGCGCTCCTGGGTGTGGGGTCATGTTCAGGCAGAGGCTTTCCACTCCAATGATTAAGTCCTGTCAAGCCCGTTCAAATCCGAGGCAAACATTAAACAAGTTCAATAAAGTGGGGCAATCGGCGCCTCCAACAGGCATGGGAGCAGTCTGCCCAGGTGCTAGAGGCGCCTCTGGCTCGCTGGGTGCTAACTGGGCAGCGGACAGCGGTGGGCAGCCGAGCCCGGTCCTCCAGGGGGCAGATACTTTCATGGACATCCTGGCATGTTTGTACTCCCGCTTCATGTCTGCTCTGATGCCATAGAGCTGTAAAATCAGCTCAGTGAGCCTCTGAGTATTGTACCTGCAGAGGCGACAGAAGGAACGGGGCCGTCAGGCGCGGCGGCCTGCCCCCGCGTCACCTGCCTTCCTCTCCCGCCGGCTCTCCCCGGGGCCCGTGCTGCGGCCACGCAGGCCCACGGCCACGCCTGTCTCTCGGCGCAGCAGCAGCCCTCTCCGTGCGTTCGTATCATGCTTCCCTCCACTCGTCCTCTCTGAACCGGTCCGTTCCCGGGCGTGCTCCCTGACTCAGCCTTGGGGCCGACAACTCCTCGCTGGAGCGCAGCCACCCCCATTAACACAGGAGAGGGTTTCGGAGACCCCCCCCCTCGGAGGAGAGCCCCCCACCTGGTTAGCATGCGGTTCCTCCTGTCGTCCAGGTCGGCGGCATTCCTCAGCTGAACGAAGCTGGAGTGGTCCTGCAGTGAGATTCACAGACAAAGCCCGCAGCCCCGTTAGTAAAGACGCAATCTCCGGGGCGGAAAACAGAACGACATTTCACACACAAAGCCGAGCACGCCCTGCTTCTCTCAGTACTCTGAACACCTGGCTCCCAAGTCCAAGCGCTAAGCCATGGCCTCGTTACTCCCCCGCTCCCCTGTCCCCGCCCCCTCCCAACGGGTGGCCCCCTCCCCTGAATCAGGGCTGTGGACCGTGTTGCTTTGGGTCCCAACACACCCAGAGCCACGTTCTTGCAAGCGTCAGGGCCCTCGCTTCTGGTGCCCCCCTCACGGAACTTCTCTTTGGGGGGGCAGGGGGGGTGGGGCACGGGGGCATTGTCTTATATCACAGAGAGACCTCTGGGCTTTAAAATCATCCTTTATTTACATCCCCTATGGCCCCAACGGGACATCCCACTGGACTGTGCTTAACAACGAGATTCCGAGGTGCTTGCCTTCTATCCCCGCTGGCGCTGGGGAGGAGGAAGGATGGGAAGGAAGTGATTAGCAGTGGCGCTCAGAGGAAGAAGAAATTCGCATACTAACCGAATCCAAAGACCTATTAGTATGTCGCCGAATGTAAATGCTGGAGTCGCTGTGGCTAGTCCTGAAAAACAAACACACGTTTCGGATTGGCGGCTCCTCGGGGCTCCCCCACCTCCCAGCATCTCTGCCTTCCAATAGGCAAGCCCCGACCTCGGACCCCGCCAGGCGGGTGAGACCTCTGGCCCAGCATGCCGTGCGGCTGGAGCACACTATGGATACGGGGTGGCTGGAGAGGCACCGGGCCCCGTCCACAGGAAGACACGGTGAGCAAGCTCTCCACGTAGAAGGCCAAGCACGCGTCCGTGGAAGCCACGGGACTGCAAGGCAGGGAGCGCCCTCTTTCCCCAGCAGCTCTGTCAAGGGCCGGCCCGGCGCCCTCTGCAGGTCCGCCCACGGGCTGGGAGAGCGGAGCGATGGACCTCCGCTTCTCATGGTCAGGCTGCTTTCCTGGCCGTGGCTCTGAGGCTGATGTGGGGTAGACCTCTGACCTCCCAGGGTCAGTGTTCCTCATCGCTGAAACGGATCGCCCGCACTTCACAGAGCTGGCGGTGTGTGTGTGTGTGTGTGTGTGTGTGTGTGTAACAGGGCCCTGCAGGCCAGAGGGGCCCGTCAGCTGCTCAGCAGGAAAACTAGGTGCTGGGTGTCACCGCGGCCGGCAGTCATCTCGTGTGCTCCTGGGAGACCTACCGTGTGGCAGCCCGGGGCCCGGAGACCAGGCATCTGAAGCAGAGGGGGTCCTAACGGAACTCCCCAGCAAGCCCTGGCTTCCTGCCTGCCCCCTCCCCGCTGCTCTGCAAACCTCACCCAGCCCTGCCTGCTGCCCGCGCTGCGCACCTCAGGCACTGCGCTGTGCGGGCGCCGGGCCAGGCCTCGGGGAACCGCGGCCCTTGTCCTTCACCCAAAGCCTGTGCTGGTTTGCCGGCCGGCGTCACGGCGCGGGGACGGAACAGCCGGTGCGCCCACAGAGAAAGAGCCCCCGTGCCGTGTCCTTGAGAGCGGCACAGCGCTAGGCCAGGGTGCAGGCCGTCTCCCGTATTTGTGAGGTTTTCTGGCAAAAAGCGCGTCCTCATAGGGAGGTCCCCGCTCTCCCTCCACCCCGTGCCCACACGCTTTCTTCGAGGCGGGCCGTGTGCGACAGCGCCATCCTCAGGGGACTAACGAGGTCCGCCCCTGACCGTGTTCTCCCCGCAAGCACAGCACCAACTGCGCACCAGGCGCTGGGCCAGGCGCCGAGCCCGGCTCTTCCCAGGAGCCGGCACTGCCTGTAACACACGTTCCTTCCTTTATTCGTCCCCTCCCGAATGCCAACTGCAGGCAGGCGGTGCCACGTGCCAGGGCAATGCTGGTGTGCCCCCCGCCGCCCAGGGCGCTTGCTGGCCTCCAGATGGCAGCCCTGGCAAACATGCTCCTCCACAGAGGGCGAGAGAAACCTGCTTTGACAAGAGCAGGGTCCGTGAGACATAGAATGGCGGGCAAAAGGCAGCCTGGAGGAGTCCAAGAGGGCTGCCTGGAGGAAGCGGAAGGGAAGCTGGGATGGACCCAAGGGAGCAGCATGGCAGGAGACAGGCAGGAGCAGAGGGTCCTACAGGGGAAGGAACTGGGAGAGGGCGGGCATTCCAGACCTCAACTAAAACCAGCTGGGGAGTGCTGGGAGGGGCAGGGTGCCTGAGGTGGACGTAGACAGGTCACAAGGTCCAGCAGGCTGAGGACAACGGGCCTTCCCGCCTTGACCAATAGGAAGCCAGAGGTGGTGACTGAGCCAAGAGCCAGCGGAAAAGCATCCTGGGAAGAGATGCCCAGAGCTCAGTCCCATGCCGTTGCCCGGGGCCAGGTCCTGCCTTAACCTCCGCATGTCCACACCAAGGGAGCAGCTGAGCCGGTCCTCACTCAGTCACACCAGGAGCACATCCCTGCACACACCTCCACAGGACACACCCTGCACACACACACCTCCACAGGCACACCCTGCACACACCTCCCCGGGCACACCCTGCACACACCTCCACAGGGCACACCCTGCACACACCTCCCCGGGCACACCCTGCACACACCTCCCCGGGCACACCCTGCACACACACACCTCCACAGGCACACCCCTGCACACACCTCCCCGGGCACACCCTGCACACACCTCCCCGGGCACACCCTGCACACACCTCCACAGGACACACCCTGCACACACACACCTCCACAGGCACACCCCTGCACACACCTCCCCGGGCACACCCTGCACACACCTCCACAGGACACACCCTGCACACACCTCCACAGGACACACCCTGCACACACACACCTCCACAGGCACACCCTGCACACACACACCTCCACAGGCACACCCTGTACACACCTCCCCGGGCACATCCTGCACACACCTCCCCGGGCACACCCTGCACACACACACCTCCACAGGCACACCCCTGCACACACCTCCCCGGGCACACCCTGCACACACCTCCCCGGGCACACCCTGCACACACCTCCACAGGACACACCCTGCACACACACACCTCCACAGGCACACCCCTGCACACACCTCCCCGGGCACACCCTGCACACACCTCCACAGGACACACCCTGCACACACCTCCACAGGACACACCCTGCACACACACACCTCCACAGGCACACCCTGCACACACACACCTCCACAGGCACACCCTGCACACACCTCCCCGGGCACACCCTGCACACACACACCTCCACAGGCACACCCCTGCACACACCTCCCCGGGCACACCCTGCACACACCTCCCCGGGCACACCCTGCACACACACACCTCCACAGGCACACCCTGCACACACCTCCCCGGGCACACCCTGCACACACACACCTCCACAGGCACACCCCTGCACACACACACCTCCACAGGCACACCCTGCACACACCTCCCCGGGCACACCCTGCACACACACACCTCCACAGGCACACCCCTGCACACACCTCCCCGGGCACACCCTGCACACACCTCCCCGGGCACACCCTGCACACACCTCCACAGGCACACCCCTGCACACATCTCCCCGGGCACACCCTGCACACACACACCTCCACAGGCACACCCTGCACACACACACCTCCACAGGCACACCCTGCACACACCTCCCCGGGCACACCCTGCACACACACACCTCCACAGGCACACCCCTGCACACACCTCCCCGGGCACACCCTGCACACACCTCCACAGGCACACCCCTGCACACACACACTTCCACAGGCACACCCCTGCACACACACACCTCCACAGGCACACCCCTGCACACACCTCCCCGGGCACACCCTGCACACACCTCCACAGGCACACCCCTGCACACACACACCTCCACAGGCACACCCTGCACACACACACCTCCACAGGTACACCCCTGCACACACCTCCCCAGGCACACCCTGCACACACCTCCACAGGGCACACCCCTGCACACACCTCCCCGGGCACACCCTGCATACACCTCCACAGGGCACACCCTGTACACACCTTCACAGTCACACCCCTACACACACACACCTCCACAGGCACACCCCTGCACACACCTCCACAGGACACACCCTGCACACACCTCCACAGGACACACCCCTGCACACACACACCTCCACAGGCACACCCCTGCACACACCTTCCCGGGCACACCCTGCACACACTTCCACAGGCACACCCCTGCACACACCTCCACAGGACACACCCTGCACACACCTCCACAGGACACACCCCTGCACACACACACCTCCACAGGCACACCCCTGCACACACCTCCCCGGGCACACCCTGCACACACCTCCACAGGGCACACCCTGCACACACCTCCACGGACACACCCCTGCACATGCACCTCCACAGGACACACCCCTGCACATGCACCTCCATGGGCACACCCCTGCACACACCTCCACAGGGCACACCCTGCACACACCTCCACAGACACACCCCTGCACATGCACCTCCATGGGCACACCCCTGCACACGCCTCCACGGACACACCTCTGCACACGCACGCCTCCACGGGGCACACCCTGCACACACACGCCTCCACGGGGCACGAGCTTTCCCTGGCACACTCTCCCGTAGCGGCAGCTCTGCCCAAAGCTATGGGAGGAGGAGCAGGAGGGCCGCCCTCCGGGCAGAGAGCAGTGGAACCGTTGCCATGAAGGTCACAGGCCTCTTCCTGCAGAGAAGTCCGCTCCCCTCCCCCTCTCCCCGTGTCTCCCCCACAGCACGGGTTTTGCTGGAACCTCCGGACACAGCATACAGCCCGCTGCTCCCTTTCCCACGGCCACCTCCCTCCCCCTCAGCTGCCACAACATGTGCCGATGCCGCAGCGTGCCAGCTGTGTGCCCAGCTGTTCCCTTCCCCGGCAATGCCTTCCTCGCTCCCAGGGCCAATCCCACAGTCCTCAGCGCTCACCGCACACGCAGGTCAGCCCCACGCCATCGGAGCCTCCACCCGCCTCCGAGGCCTAAAGTCCCCGCTTCCTCTTGGCACCTGAGGTGTCCCCTCCAGTCCCAGTCCCTGGAGGCCGGGCGGAGCGTGTCTCTCTCTCTCTCTCTCTCTCTCTCTCTCTCTCTCTCTCTCTCTCTCTCTCTCGCTGGGAGGCCCTGGGGGAACAGAGCTGAGCCTGAACCCGCTGTGACTCACCTCCTTGGCAGTCCCCAAGCCCAGCGGACACCGCACAGGGCGGCCGCCCACAGGTTCCTGAGAACTAACTCGCTCCGAGCGGCCTGGTGAGGGACCCCCGGACCCTCCCCAGGTTGCGATCAGGTAGGTCATAGCCGGGCCGTGCGTGTACAGTGTCAGCAGCATGCACAGCAGGTCCAGCTCCACACTAAGACACACGTGTCTGCGGGACAGTCATGAAAGGTGGGAGAGGGACTCTGGAGTCAGGGCCGAAGGTGGTAGCGTTCTCCCATTGTAGGCTACTCCGCCCCACCCCACCCCCAGGCCCCCGTCCCACAACCAACCGCACCTCTGCTCTCCGGGCTGGGCTGATCAGCACCCCAAATGCAAACCTCAACAACCCCCTTGCAGCCAGGATGGCCCCCCATCATAGGCAGCGAGGACAGCCCCACTCTGAGCCCGAGACCCCGTCTGCGGCGCCCTGGGCTGAGGGCTGCGAGCCGCCCTGTCCGCCATCGGGAGGCCCAGTTCTAGCCCTCCCCAGAGAGTTAGGGAGGAGACGCATGGGAGGTGCTGAGCACAGAGGGCAGACAGAGACAGGGCCCCTGGAGTCAGCAGCTAAGCATTCCCCGGGGACAGATCTGCCCACTCGGAGGCCTCGGAGTGGGGCTAGAGGCCCCCTGCACACCACAGGCTGATCAGCACAAGTTCACGGTCCTCCCTGAGATAGCGGAACCGTCCTGAGCTCTTTAGAACCAAACTCCCGGGCGAAGCCTCAGGACCAAAGTCCAAACGCCCTGGGACAGCTACGCAAGGTCCCCTCCGGCCCACGACCGTGAGCGAAGTTCCACTTCCAGCTGCCCAGCCCGCGGCCGAGTCTCCGAGGCCACTGCTTTTCACACCCCACGCCCCCGGCAGCCACGCCGCTGCTCACTGCCACTGCCCACTGCTCACCGCCACCGCTCGCTGCTCCCCGCCACCGCCCACTGCTCACCGCCACCGCCCGCTGCTCACCACCACTGCCCACTGCTCACCGCCACTGCCCGCTGCTCACCGCCACTGTCCGCTGCTCACCTCCACCGCCCGCTGCTCACCACCACTGCCCGCTGCTCACCACCACCGCCCGCTGCTCACCTCCACCGCCCACTGCTCACCGCCACCGCCCGCTGCTCACCGCCACCGCCCACTGCTCACTGCCACCGCCCGCGGGGACCCGGGAGGGAGGAGGCGGCCCCCGTCCTCCCCGTGCCGCTCGGCAGCGGGCCCGTGACGGGGAGGGCCGGCGGGACCCCGGGCGGAGGCTGAGGCATCGGTTTCTGACTCTGGCAAAAGGCTGCCTTACCAGGAGAATTTGGGGTGGATAGGAAGAACCATCTTACGAAGTTTCCTCGCTGCCAGTCTCGCCCCCACAACCCCGCCCCGTCAGGAACTAGCGACGTGCTGGGTTCGAGGCCCAGGCTCTCTAGTGCCTCTCCCCGGCGTACCTGGAGGGGACTCGGTGGAAGCCCGGGGGTTCCTCCTCCAGCTCGTCCGAGGACCGCCCCACCCCGGGGGCGAGCAAGATGGAGCTTTCCACATCGTCCACGTGCTTCTTTTTCTCCTTCTTCTTGCTGCTGACCGACTCCTCCGTCGCCTTCTCTTCCGAAGAGCTTCCCACGTGCCCCGGGTTTGGGGAGTCCTGGGTCAAGGACAAGGCAACCAAACGGAAGTCAGCATCTCATGCCGAGACCCCAAGGGAGGGGCCCCGCCCAGCGCCCGGATTCCAAGGCCCAGAGGGGCCCCTCTAACCGCCTCTCCACGAGTTCCCTCCAGCCCAGCCTGCCGGAGTGGGGAGCCCTCGACACCCCCAACGCCTGTCCCGTACGGAGTTCACATGCCCCAGACGGGCGAGGAGAAACGGCATGAGGTCTGGAGTCCCCAGCCTATAGTTTAAAGCCCTGACCAGGCCAGCTCTCTGACCCTGAGCGATGGACTTGACCTCTCTGACCCTCAGTCTCCTCGTCTGTCAAATGGGTATAAAAATTACCAACCGCTTCCCACAACACGCCTATAAAGGATGTCCCTCACCAAGGGCGGAGACAGGACCCTCCACATAACCATCACCCGCTTAAACAGACACCGGCGGGCCCAAGCGGGCACAGGTCGCCGAGTGTGGAGAGGCGCGCCCGCGGACACGCGGACAGCCAGCAGCAGGGAGGACGGTCCCGGTGCCCTCGGCCGGAGGTGGTGCTGGGGCACCGCCGGCGTTTGCTGGATACAGAGCGCTCTGAGCGCAGGCACAGCCAGCACCTGACCCCCACCACGGCGCCCCGAGGGAAACCGAGAGGCGTGGGAATGGCGGGAGCCTGGTCCGGAGAGGCCCTTTGGGTAGGCGGCGGACGGAGGGGCTGGCCTGGCCGGCGGAGCAGCCACAGAACAAAGAGCCACGGAGCAGAAAGGGAAACGCCCTCAGCAATGTGAAACGAAGCCCCGCCTCGGGCATCCATGGCCCCTTTCTGAGAGGTGAAATGAGGAGACACCTGCTTTTCCTTCTTAAAGACGAGAGGAACCTGCCATGTTCTGGTCTCTTTTGAAGGCACATTTTTCCTTTTTCATGGAGGCAGGGCCAGGTATGAGAGAAGTGCTCCCTCCTGTGCTGTCCTGGCTGCCAGGGAGCGAGGCTCACAGACCCCCCCCCCCCCCCCCCGCCACTCCGAGATGCACCCCCCTCCGCGGACCCACAGGGATCCAGGCCAGGGCTGCACTCGGGGCCAATGACAGTGGACACCTGCTCGTGGGCAGGTGAGAGCCAGAGGGAGTGGGTCAGGTCTGAGGCAGACCCGGCTCAGGATCAGAGGTCCAGTCCAGGTCTCTGGTTCCCCTTCCAGCCCCGCCCCGGTCACCTGGCCACCTGCGGGCACACGACAGGTGTGCAACCTGCTTTTGGCAACGACAGCAAGGAAGGTGGACGAGATGGAAGCACCACCTCTGCGATGCCATAGGCTGAGCCCCTAGTTAGCCATTTCCACCATCCGAGCGGCAAAGGTCACACGGGCTTTCTTTCCACCCACACTCGGTCCCCCGTCTTTTGTCCTAAGAGAGACTTTTGGCTCACAACCATCCAGAGAATAGCCCCATTTGCTGCCATGGGCCCCCAATCTGAGGACCCCAAGACCGGAGCTCCCCGAGGGGCATTTCTAACCCCTGGATCTCGGGGTTTGTGGCGGGAAGAGCCTTCTGGGACAGGGCTGGCTTCCCACAAGCCAGCAGATAGCAGGGAGGGTGGGTGGAGGACCGGGGTCAGGATCCTTCACGTGGGGGCAGACGGGAGATGGCAGTGGCCCCTGGGGAACCATCCAGCCCTCTTCTCCACCCCAAGACAGACAGAGTGAGACCCCCACTCCAAGGGCCAATGGCCCTGCCACGCTCGCCTCCCCGGAGCTCCCCCGGAGCTCCTGGGAGCCGCACCCCTGTGCAGAGTTGGCAAATCCATCAACGCAGCGACTGCGCCGGCCTCCGCCCTGGGTGCCTCACAAGGCTGCTCAGCCCCTTCCTCCTGAGGCCCCCCTTGCAGGCTGGCTCGTTCCTCCGAGACCGCTGGGCCCTCCCTCCAGCCCTCCACTGCGTGGGCCAGAGCATCGTCAGCTATCGTGGGGTTCAGTGCACCCCACCTTCACCTTTCACCCCAGACTACCAAGCAAAACACACCTTTGTCTCCCGATTGCAGGCCCTGTTGGGGCTGGGGGAGGGGGGGAGGGTCCCAAACCTTCATCGCAAACGCTCCTCTCTCCAGGGAGGGACCAGCCCAGCCCACCAGCCTGGCGGGCCCTGGATGGGCTGTATGGGGACAGGGGCTGAGCTCCCAAGAGCCAGAACGCCCCGGGGGCGGCCCCGTACCTGCCGGCTCTCCGCAGGGGCGCAGGCCTTGGCCTCCCTCTGCTGGCGGTCCTCGGGGGCCCCCCGGTCCCGGTCAGGCTCCTGGGTCGGGGAGTCCTCCCCCAGCCCCCCGAAGCTGCCGCTGCTCTCGGACGCCTCGAGGTCGTCCTCGTCCTCCCTCTGCTCCAGGTCGGACAGGTAGTCCTCCGGGTCCCCGAAGTCCGTGTCCTCGGCTCTAAAGTCCTCCGGACCCTCGGCGTAGGCCTCCAGGACGGCGGCCAGGGGCACCTCGTAGTGCGGGTAGTAGAAAAGTTCGTGCGGGATGACGGAGACCTTGGAGAGCGGCGGGGAGCGCTTGAAGTCCAGGCCCTCCTCGCTGTGGCTGCCCAGCGTCTCCAGGCTCACCCGGCTGCTGGGCGGGTGGGAGGGCGAGTCCCCGTCCGGGTCCGGGGGGGCCTCGGCGTCCCCCTCCCCCTCCTCCTCCTCCTCCTCCCCACACGGGGGCCGCGGGGACTTGCACTTGGCCTTCTCGTACACCTCCGGCTTCCTGCCCGCCGGCTCCTCCCCGGGGGCCGGCTCCTGGCCGGGGGCTTCCTGCGCCGGCGTGCCCGGCGGGTCTTCGTCGTCAGGGGCGGCCATCCCGTGGGGGGACTTGCTTCTCCTCTTGCCCGGCTTCTCGGCCTGCTCCTCGGGGGCCTGCTCCCCGGGGGCCTGCTCCCCCGCGCCCTCCGCCGCGGCCTCCGCGGGCCCGTCCTCGGGCGTCGGCGGGTCCTCGCCGAAAGCCTGGCTGGTGGAGGCGAAGTCCACGAGGTCGCTGTTGAACTTGGAGGCTTTCAGGGGAATGCCTTCGAAGTCGTCCTCCTCGTCCGCCGCCCGCACGTCCCGCAGCCTCACCTCGATGATCTCCGAGAGAATGGCCGCCGCCATCTCCTCTCCCTCTTTGCCCGGGGCCCCGGGGGCCGCGCTCCGGGCAGCGGGAGCGGGCCTGGCCTCGCTGTCCAGCAGGGACACGACCTCCAGGGCCCTGAGGGCGCCCTGCCGCGCCTCTTCCTCGGCCATCTCCTCCGGGAGGCGCCCGTCCTGCTTCCACCAGCTGTCCTTCGCCCCCCGGGGGCCGCCCTCGAAGCCCAAGTCTGGGCTGCGGGCGGGGTCCTTGCTGCAGGAGGCGTCCTTGTAGAGGTCCGTCTCAAAGTGCACCGTCTTCCTGGCGGGCAGGGAGCTGGACCTCTGATTGTCCCTCCTGGACAAGATGGAAGACTCGGGCGGCGGCTGCTCCGTGAGGCTGCAGGACCTCTCGGAGGCCGTGCGGGGGTCCCAGTCCGGGGCGAGGCTGTCTGTGGGCCTGGGGCCAGGGCCGCCCCCGGGACGGGCCTCCTTCCCGCTCTCGGGCTTGTCGAGGACAAAGACCTTGGAGGGGGGCGGGTGGCTGGTGTCGTGGTTGACGGTGTAGGCCCGCTCCCCGTGGTCAGCCAGGTAGCAGACGGCGCTCTCCTGCTCCAAGGGCGTCTCTTTAAAGCGGACGAAGGTGGACTCGATGGGGGCGTCTTTATCGGGGTCCACGAAATCCTCCTGCAGAGACACAGGGCAGCGTGAGGTCACCACGTGTCCCCTCCCCTCTCCAAGGGCAAACCCCAGCGGGAAGGGCTGCCTCCGATCTAATGCTCAGGGGTCTCACTGACGTGCAGGTCGTTGCCGAAAACTAATGCTGCCGCCAACGTATCTGACCAAGACTGTACTTTCCCAGCTCCGGTACAAAGAAATCTCAGTGAACTAAACTGTAAGTAGGATGAGCCCTCTAAGTGAGCAAAGATTTTTTCAGCTTCTTTTTTCGCCTAACATATTTTTATTGATTTCAAAGAGGGAGAGGGGGAGAGAGACAGATCAATGATTCTCTCCCATCGTCGATCAGCTGTCTCCTGCACATCCCCTACTGGGAACTGAACCCACAACCTGGGCATTGCCCTGACCAGGAATCCAATCGTGACCTCCTGTTCAAAGGATGACGTCCAACCTCTGAGCCACACAGGACAGGTGACTGTCAGCTTCTGTGTCTGCTGCCGAGTCTGGGGAAGCACAGGAGGAGCGCTGACCACCTGACATAGGGAAAATCAGCCACCTCATCACTGATGGTGTGGGCAGGTAGGAATCGAAAAGGACTCCAAATGCAAAACCAAATCTCCTGACAGAATGATAATTCTCCCCCCACGAGACCATTTGCTGAGCAGGAAACAGCTGTGGGCAGGGCTGTAAAGCAGAGAGCAACCTCGGGGTAATGCAGTGGTTGGTCCCCACTGCACTGGTGGAATCGGAGTGTTGACCTCACCTTAAAATTACATGAAACCAGAAAGCCAAAATTAAATAAAACTGCACCATATCCCTTCCTGAGTCCTGGGAAGGCCAAATTGCTTAGTTCCTCATTGTAAATTCTTGCTTAGGAAAGGACCACGTTCTTGGGTGGTGGGGGAAAGAAAGGGAAATGTTCATAAATATACACTAGGCCTGACACAAAAGAAACAATGTTAAGATACCAAGAAGCAGGGGAATGAGACCCATAATGAAGAGAAACAACAGTCATTAGAAGTAGACCCACCAAAGAGCCAGGGTTAGAACCCAGCAAATAAAGATGCTGAAACAGCCGAGACCGGTTTGGCTCAATGGATAGAGCGTCGGCTTGGGGACTGAAGGACCGGGGTTCGATTCCGGTCAAGGGCATGTACCTTGGTTGCGGGCATATCCCCAGTAGGGGGTGTGCAAGAGGCAGCTAATCGATGACTCTCTCTCATCGATGTTTCTAACTCTCTATCTCTCTCCCTTCCTCTCTGTACAAAATCAATAAAATATATTTAAAAAAAAAAAAGATGCTGAAACAGCTGTTTAACCTATGCTACAGGCAATAAATACACAGGCAGTTCTTCAGGCTAAAGAGAAGTGATCACAGAGGGAAGCCAGAATCTGAAGGAGGGAATGAAAAATGACTGAAATAGTAAATAAAGGGTCAATATAAAAAACTAGGAAGTTTTCTAAAAAAGCTTCCTAACTATTTAAAGCAAAAATGTGACAACATATTGGGATTAGAATATCGAGAGTGAGACAGATGACTAATAGCACAAAGGAACGGAAAGGACGTGAATGGGATTAAATGTTTGCCTATATGAGACATACAAAAAGAGCATTCTACTGGAAGTGTTATAATAGGGATTCACCTTAGACTGAGGTATGTTCAAGGTGCGTATTACAGCCCCTGGAACAACTCCTAAGAAGATAGATAAAACCAGGAGATGCAGCTCAAAAGCCCTCAGTGAGCTAAAATGGGGACAAAAGAATAACTCAATCACCCAGAAAAGGTCAGGCAGGGAGAATGAAGGAGTGCAGCCCAGGCAGCACCAGTGGGGAGCACGTCTAGCTGGCAGATGGAATCGCTTAAGTGGCCGCAAACACACTCATTCAATGACAGGCTAATTCTTGTCAGAATGGATAGAAAGCCAGACCTGATGATAAGCTGTTTAAGAGAGACATGTGTATTAGCACACACGCTGCAAAGAAAAAGAAGGAAAAAGACATAGCATGCAGCCCAGCCGGCATGGCTCAGTGGTTGAGCATCGACCTATGAACCAGGAGGTCAGGGTTCGATTTCTTGTTGGGGCATATACCCAGGTTGTGGGCTTGATCCCCAGTGCAGGAGGAGGCTGATCGGTGATTCTCTCTCATCATGGATGTTTCTATCTCTCTCTCCTCTCCCTTCCACTCTGAAATCAACAGAAATATTTTCAAAAAAATAAAAAAGGTACAGCATGCAAACAGCATGAGAAAGCTGGCGTGGCTACATATTTCTATCTGACAAAGTACCCAGCAAGAGAAAGAAAGAACCTGCGTAAAACTGCAACCACTGGTCACCAGGATGATACAACTACCTAAATGTGTATGCGTTTACAGCATGGCTTCAGCATACACAAAGCAAAGACGGACAGAGCTAAGAAAAATAAACGCACCATCCTGAGCTGGAGATGTTAAACATTTCTCTCCTACACTCACTGATAGGAAAAGAAGAAAAAATAGCAGCATGCCTATAGAATAGGAGGACAGCACATTAACCAACCCGACCTAATTGATACTTAAAGAATGTGAATTCTTTCAGTGCATAAGACACCTTCTTTTCGAGCGCATATGGTGCATTTAACCCAAAATAAACCATATACTGGGGCATCAAGCCGGACACAGTGTCTGGTACAGGGATGGCCAGGGCTTAAAGAATGTCTGTTGAGCCGAGACCGGTTTGGCTCAGTGGATAGAGGGTCGGCCTGGGGACTGAAGGGTCCCGGGTTCGATTCCAGTCAAGGGCATATACATTGGTTGGGGGCACATTCCCAGTAGGGGGTGTGCAAGAGGCTGCTGATAGGTTTCTCGATATTTCTCTCTATTCCTCTCCCTTCCTCTCGGTAAAAAATCAATAAAAAAATATATTTTTAAAAAATGCCTGTTGAAATGAATTAAGCTCAGCTGAACTGTCCAGGAACAGTTCAACGGGTGCCTAGATCAGTTGGGACTTGTCGTCTGCCATCCCTGGGGGATGTATGTGGACTGTTCTGCGGTGACGCACTATGTTCTGGGACTCGGGGGGACTTTCTCAGGTCCCCCCTCTCCTTCTCCTGCCCCAGTCTGCAGTCCTGGGGAGCCCCAAGTGTCAGAACTGCGGAATCCTGGCTGTGATGCCTACAAATACCATAAGTTTGAGCTGATTTCAAGCTTTGCCTACATCTCTAAGGGCTCAGGGTTAAATATCCCCAAGTTTAGTCATGGACTAGGAAATTTACAAAATATTATTTTACCATACTAGAGGCCCCATGCACAGATTCATGCACCAGTGGGGTCCCTTGGCCTGGCTGCACCCTCTCACAATCCAGAACCTCTTGGGGGATGTTGAACTGCTGGTTTCAGCCCAATCCCCACAGGCCAGGCTGCCGAACGCCACGGGTGCATGAATGCAAATTGTGTATTGTATAACGTATACAGCTACACCCTTTAATGTATTAGACTGTATATTGTGCATGGCTAATATGCAAAGTGTCCCCACAGGAGTTCAATCAGGAGTTCTATCGCTCGCCATGATCACCAGGGAGCGGTGCGGAAAGATCAAAGGCCCCGGCCGGCAGCTGGCAGCCAGAAGGCCCTATCGCTGGCCAGATCTAGGGACCCTACCCGTGCACAAATGTCGTGCACCGGGCGTCTAGTATTATTATAAAAATAACAGCCCTAGCCAGTTTGGCTCAGTGGATAGAGTGTTGGCCTGTGGACTGAAGGGTTCCAGGTTTGATTCCGGTCAAGGGCACCTGCCTGGGTTGTAAGCTTGATCCGGGGGCATGTAGGAGGCAATCAATGATTCTCTCTCGTCATTGATACTTCTATCTCTCTTCCCCTCTCCCAGCCTCTGTGAAATAAATAAAAATACATTTAAGGTGTGTTTTGAACACTGTCTTTTATAAATTTTCACCCTCTTGATAAAATCTGGTAGACTGCCGAAATGTTCTATCTGGCATATTCTATCTGACATCTTAAAAAACAGGAAAGTTACCCTTATGTAAGCTTAGTACAGTTTGGCATGTGAAGGGGTTTGCAAGAGGCGTGGCTGCCTAACTTCCCGCCCCGCTTCTCACGTGATACACGTCACACGTGACTTTGACATTAACACGGGGCCGGGCGGCGCTCAAGGGGCCTGAGGTCACGTTTTGATGATTCCTGCTCCTCGAACCACACGGCCCAAGCCGGGTTCAGCGGATGGAAATGAACAGTTTCAGAATTAAAGGCAAGGAAAACCAACATACGGCTTCCGGCTCCGGGAAATGTTCTAGAAACTGTGCCACGTATGTCACGATAGACTGCTCGTCCGGCGTGTCAACCATGATGTCTGTGGAGAGGACACCGGCGTTAGGAGGACACACAGACACCCAGCTTTCAGAGAGGATCGGGGGCCTGGTGTGCAGGAGCCCTGGCCGCTGTGCTTTCCCTGTCCTGGAGGAGGGAAGCGGGCCAGGGGGGGACCGCGGGGCTGAGGCCTGTGCACGGGGCCGCGTGTAGAACCCAGGGCTCCTCATCCCCAAGGTCACCCATCATCCTCCGTCCCTCCACTGGGAGCCGCGGGCTCACGGCAGCTGTTGGCGGTGCGGTGACCAGGACCCCTCCTCGCTGCCGGAGGGCGTCCCGCACTAGCCTGACCCACGGGGAAGCCACTTCAGTGACAGCCACGTGCGGGGGAGGGAGGTGTTAGGGGGGGAAGGCATGTCCTTTCCGACGTGCGGCCACACGGACGGGCCTGGGCCTGAAGGAGGAACTGAGAGGCACGGGGTTTCCTGCAGCGAGATGCAAACAGGACCGTTCCTAACAGCCCAGGGCCACCGGCGGCAGGAGAGCCCGCCAGATGGTCCGTGATGCAGCCGATCAAAACAGACAATGAGGACGTGCTAGCCACAGGCAAAACACGCTGTCAAAATTAAAATGTCAAAGGAAAGGAGAGACAAAACTAGGCGTACACAGAATGATCCCACTATGTTTTTAAAAATGCAATGGAGCCGAGACCATCTTGGCTCAATGGATAGAGCGTCGGCTTGGGGACTGAAGGGTCCCAGGTTCGATTCCTGGGTCAAGGGCATGTACCTTGGTTGCGGGCATATCCCCAGTAGGGGGTGTGCAAGAGGCAGCTGATCGATGACTCTCATCAAGGTTTCTAACTCTCTATCCCTCTCCCTCCCTCTATGTACAAAATCAATAAAATATATTTTTAAAAATGCAATGAAATGCATAGAAAAATACTGGAGAACCGAAACCAGTTTGGCTCAGTGGATAGAGTGTCGGCCTATGGACTGAAAGGTCCCGGGTTCGATTCTGGTCAAGGGCATATACCTTGGTTGCAGGCACATCCCCAATAGGTGTGCAGGAGGCCGCTGATCGATGTTTCTCTCTAATCAATGTTTTTAACTCTCTATCCGTCTCCCTTCCTCTGTGTAAAAAAATCAATAAAATATATTTTTAAAAGAAAAGGAAAATACTGGAGAAATGGCCCAGCGGTAGGAACGTAGGTGTTATAAAACGTCCCCACTGGGTTTTTCTGTGTTTCCTCCCGGGACAGCCGGTGGACGCGGGCAGTGAGACCCGGGAAGGAGGAAGAGAGTGAAGCCGCCGCTACCTTCCGGCTCCAGGAGCCTGGGGATGTGCAGGGCGTCGTGCGCGATGCGGAAAGCCTTCTCCAGGTTCTCCCGCATGGAGTCCTCCAGCGCCGCCTTCATGTCCACCAGGCTGGGGTCGATGGCCTTGATCACCGCCAGGAAGGCCAGCCCGCTCCGCCAGCTGCCCGCGAAGTCCTGCACCGCCACGCCGTACCTGCGGGAGGCAGCGGCCGGCGGTCAGGAGGGGGAGCGCGGACTGGCCAGCGTGAGCAGCCTCTCGGGCCTCCCTCACTCCCTCCGAGTGCGGCCAGGCACCCTGAGCCCCGGAGAGCTGCAGGGAGCCTCACATTCCCTCCGGAAGAGGAAGGCATGCGGCCTACAAGGAGGCCACACATGCCAAAACCGGTTTGGCTCGGTGGATAGAGCGTCGGTCTGCAGACTGAAAGGTCCCAGGTTCGATTCCAGTCAGGGACATGTACATTAGTTGTGGGCATATCTCCAGTGGGGGGTGTGCAAGAGGCAGGTGGTCGATGTTTCTCTCTCATCGACGTTTCTAGTTCTCTATTTCTCTCCCCTTTTCTCTGTACAAAAATCAATAAAATATATTAAAAAAAAAAAAAGAAAAAAAAAAAAGGAGGCCACACAGGACTCATGTTCCCCGAGGTCCAGACAGACAGGGAGCAATGCTGTAATGCCATCTTACCAGGGACATTCCGGACAGCAGATGGCGGGTGCTGTGATAACGTGGAGCCAGAAAGTCCCCATGTATCCCACTGGCCTGCTCCCCGCTCCCCACACTTCCCGGCTTCCCTGCCAGGCCTCAGGCTCCCCAGGGATAAACAGGGATCCCCACTGTGACCTCCCGGGGGGCGGCCGTAGAGAATACTAGCTTGAACCCCTAGGGCGGCCCCGGCAGGCGGACATCCAACGGGCCACATAGGCAGCACCCGGAGTGGCAGCTGATGCCATCTGCGAGGCAGGCAGAGAGCTGATCCTCCGGCACTCATGTCCGTTAGAAACCATGCCAGGACCGGCCGTTTCCCCACTGTGGCCACCGAGTTCTCGTGGAAACAAACCAACGGCCGACCTTTTGTATTTAGGAACTAGAGGCCCAGTGCATGGAGTCATGCCCCGGTGGGGCCCTCAGCCTGGCCTGCCCCCTCTCGCAATCCGGGACCCCTCAGGGGATTTTGGCCTGCCTGTTCGGGCCGATCCCCACAGGCCAGGGGATCAGGCTGAAACTGGCAGTCCGACATCCCCCCAGGGGTGTAGCAGTGCACAAAGCGCAGGGGGGGAGCCCAAGCCCGGGCGGGGCACCGCACCGCTCCATTCATCCTGCCCCACAGAGCCTGCGGCCGCCATGGCTCAGTAACACTGCCACGTAGGAGAGGCAGGAGCGACATCCACCACTGCAGCTGCGTTTGCCAGCTGTGAGTCTGGTGTCTGGTGCCCCTCTGTCAGCTGAGCAGCACTCCCCCTGTGGGAGCACATTGAGTGTCTGCCCCCTGGTGGTCAGTACATGTCATAGCAACTGGCTAGTCATTCGGTCGTCCTTTTGCTTAGGCTTTTATATATATAGATCATTAAGATTCACAGAAACTGAAAAGCAGGAGCACCATGGGTCTAAGCCAGGGCCCCGACACCAGGACAGGCGATCTATGAAACTGCAGGCCTTGTGGGTCTCAGCAGCTTCTTTTTCACGGGGTGGTGTGTGCCCCGTGACATTCTGTCATAGGCACAGAGCCCTGGAGCCACGGCCTGACGCCATAGAGACTCAGAACTGTGGCATCACCCCAAGGTCACCTCCCTTCCTCATCACCCCGGCTCTCTCTGGTTGATTTACTTTTATTAGAGAGAAGGGAGAGGGAGAGAGAGAAACATGGATGAGAGAGAGAAATGCCGATCGGCTGCCTCCTGCACACCCCCACTGGGGATCAGGCCTGCAACGTGGACCTGACTGGGAATCGAACCATGATCTCCTATCTCATGGGGCTGATTTCTTTTTAAACAACTTGGAATGACTGTTCGCACACATCACCTCCACCGTGCTCTGCCCCTCAATCCAAACGCCAAACCCCCAGCCTCACTCCCTCCTTCCTTCCGCCTTTCACCCTGCACACGGGGACAGGGCCTGGATCTCTGTGGTGCTTGCGTGTGCTGGGACCACGCAGGCACTGTCCTGGGGTCTCTGTCATTTCAGCTTGACCCCCTGCAGGGCAGCGGGGGAGAAGTTACTACCGTAAAGCTGTGGCCGGTGGGAACGCGGTTCACCAGGAGCTCACCGGCGTGTGCACAGGGGGTGGCCCTGAGCTGGTGTGGCTTGGCTCTCTCCCCAGCCTTGTCCACAGTCCAGAGGCCCCAGGGCAGCCGGCCACCGCCAGGTAAAGGCCCGACACCAACAGGGACACACAGGAGGCCAGGATTGCGCGGTGTGAGTTTTGGAAAGGCCAAACCTAACTCTGCTCAGCAATACCTTTCCTGTTACCGGCTTCTAAGTGGGTGCAGCCTGGCCGACACCTCGGCCTTCGTAAGAAATGTGTGCATGCTACCAGGACCCAAGAGCCAGCCCGCTGTGGGACTGGACGTGGGGCAGGCCCTCTGCTCAGTATTCTCAGGAGCTTTCTGGAGACCGCATTCTGCACACAGTTCTCTGTGCACAAACCCTACCACCGCCCCGCAGCCTGCCCCGCCAGCTCCCTGCGGCCGCCGGCACGGCACCGGCCAGAACCTCCTGGCCGCAGCCCCCCTCACGGCGCCCACCCGGTCCTCTCCCCGGCCGGGCCGCGTCCACGGTGGCTCACTTGCGCGTTTTCCGCTGCACCCAGGCCAGCAGCGCCCGGATGGCCTTCCGCTGGTCTTTCACGGACAGCGCCGCGCTCCTCTCGCCGGTGGGCGTGGGGGGGAAGGAGGAGTCGGAGTCGGTGCCCCCGGAGCTGGGCGACAGGCTGTTCGGTGGAGAGTTCCTGCTGAGGTTGCCCGTGAGCTCTTTAATCTGGAAGGAAAAGAACATTTCAGCCCTGAGACAGCCCCCGAGCAAACCCTCTCTGACCCCAGGGAGCCGGGGGACCTGAGCGGAGGGACCCCGAGCGGAGGGACCCGAGTGGAGGAGCGGCTCATGCAGACAGGAGAGGCCCCTTCCCGACGCGGGGGCAGGGGGCAGGGGGCAGGGGGCAGGGGGCAGGGGGCAGGACCACGCATGGTGGCTGCCGGCTGTGTGCCTGGTCGGTGCTCGGGCAGTGACACAGTCCCAGGAGCCATCTCTCTCCGAGTCTCTCTACTGAGGCCACACTCCGCACGAGGCCTTCCTGGCCAGACTCCCCTGTCCTCCCCCATCGTGGCCTATGGCTCCCAGAACGCAGCATGCTCTCCTGAGCCCACGGCCCGCGCTCTCCCGGGTCCCGCTGCCTGGGTGTCCCTTCCTGCATCGCGGAACCCCGGCCACCCAAGAGGCGGTTCCCATCCCGGACGTGTGAGGCGGACGCCCAGGCCCTGCCCCAGACCCACAGTCAGATCCGTGTTTCACCACCCCCTCCTCCCCCCACCCTCTCCCTCTCCCGCGATTCCTGTGCCCAGTCAAGTCTGAGGAGCACTGGTCTAGCACACTCCTACTGGCCCGTCAGAACCCAGCCCTGATGCCCCTCCCTGTGGGCTGGTGTGACGGATGAGAGTGTGTGTCCTTGTCCTCATCCCTCCGGGAGAGCGGCCCCTGCCTGGGGCCCTTCCAGCTCTGCCCCCACCCGGAGGCGGCCTGCCCAAGGAGCTGTGCACGATGAGGCGGCCTCACTGGTCATCCCAGAGGTCATGGCTGAGGCCTGGGCATGCCCGGAGCCTGGCAACTCGCAGAAACTCAACAGACAGGTACGAAACAAATGGGTGATGGTCTGGGGCTGTGGTTGGCAAACTGCAACTCTCGAGCCACATGCGGCTCTTTGGCCCCTTGAGTGTGGCTCTTCCACAAAATACCACGGCCTGGGCGAGTCTATTTGGAAGGAGTAGCGTTAGAAGTTTAAAAAGTTTGGCTCTCAAAAGGAATTTCAATCGCTGTGCTGTTGATATCTGGCTCTGTGGACTGATGAGTTTGCCGACCACTGTCCTGGGGGACGGAAGGCCTTGACTTTGCACACATCTTCAGGGTGTTTCCGGAGCGCTCAGGGAGTCACTGAGCCTCTGCAGATAGCAGACCACTGGCCTGCTCAGCGCCCATCACGACCAGGCCCCCTTTGTCCTACGTGTGGACACTGAGGCTCAGAGAGAGTCTTTGGTTGTGGAAGTTCAAGGCTTGCCTAGAGCTTCATCTGTCCCGCCCAGACTTTGTCCCTCCCTGAAACGTCAGCGTGGAGCCCACCCCCGGCCCATGGCCGCCATGGAGGGCAGGGCGGCCCAGTGGTGCGCCCGCGTCCTCTTTCCAACGAGGGTGTGAGAAGGTGGGCGGAGCTCCTTCTGCCGGGAGAGGCCGAGCGTGACCTCCACTGCCGCCCTCGCAGCGGCCACGGCCGTCCCCTCTCCCCGACGCCACGTTTCCAAGCAGAGGCTGCCGCTGCTACGGACGGAAAGGGCATCTCCGCCCCCGTGCCTCTTCCTACACGCGCCTCTCCGGGCGGCCTTCCCTCCTCTGAGCCCGGCTCCCTGCAGGAAAGGAGCTCTCCCGCTCCCTCTTCGGAGCATTTCCCCGGTCCCCGTGACGCTTTAGATACAGCTATTTTCTCGAGGCAAGTATTTAACCCCCCCATCCCCAAGAGGATGGGAGACTCCCCTGGGGAACAGAGCTCCCGCCGCTTTTAAAATCACGGGGGCTCCAATCTTTAGCCCTCGGTTCTTTTCCGGGGAACGGAGTAGCCAAACCTGCCGGGAACGGAATCCCACTGACCCCGAGCGGCCAGAGGAGCCACCGCGGCACAGACAGGCGATGCTCGTACCTGGAAGAAGAGGATGATGTTCCATATCAGCCCCAGGACCAGCGAGGGGTTGCCGTCCGCTATCTCTGCTGCGTCGATGCTCACCAGCTTCACCTGCGGGGAAGCAACCGGGAGCTTAGTGGGGCCACCGCGAGGGAAACGGGCGACGTGCTGATGCCCCAGGGCCGCGGTCGGCACACTCATCCGTCCACAGAGCCAACAGCAACAGCACAACGACGGACATTTCTCTGGAGAGCCACATTTTTTAAACGTAAACTACTTCTAACGCCACTTCTTCAACATAGACTCACCCAGGCCGTGGTGTTTTGTGGAAGAGCCACACTCAAGGGGCCAAAGAGCCGCCTGTGGCTCGCGAGCCGCAGTATGCCGACCAGAGGTCTAGCATAAGGTGACCAGACATCCCGCTTTTGACGGGACAGTCCCGATTTTTAACAATTGGTCCCGCGTCCCGCAGCCTTTTTAAAAGTCCCGATTTAATCGGGACAAATTGTTAAGAATCAGGACTGTCCCGCCAAAAGCAGGACGTCTGCTCACCTTAGTCTGGTGGGCCTGTCTCTCTGTCACCTGTGCTGCTCAGCATTGCCCGAGGCTGCCTCTCAGGGCACAGCAGGCAGAGGTGTGCGAGGGGCGGTTCACCATCACCTACGTAGGACTCACCCCGCACAGGCACCTGCTAAGCTCCTCACAAGCACCAGCTGCACCGTTAGTAATGCAGGTTCTTTTCCACCGATGGAGTCACCCACATGTGGATGTATGTGCGATTTGATATGGATGCTATTTTTGTTGTATTGGCAGCAAGCTTCAAAACTATATGCGTTAAATGTGCTGAAGGTGTTAACATCATAGATATTTTTACTCTTAAAAATGCCGAATTTCGTGCCAAAAAAAAAAAAGAGAGCATTTACGAGAAGTTTTAATTCTTTATTTTGAAGAAAAAGTTATCATATACTTCGGGAAGCTTATGTTGAACAAGCTCCATCTCAAGGAACTTGTGAATGCTGGTTTAAACGCTTTAAAAGTGGTGATTTCGATGTGAAAGACAAAGAATGTCCAGATCAACCAAAAAAGTTTGAAGACCGACAATTACGAGCATTACTGGATGAAGATGCATGACAAACTCAAAAACAACTTGCAGAAAGATTAAACGTTGCTCAGCAAACAGTTTCCGATCGTTTACAAGCAATGGGAAGGATTTTAAAGGAAGGAAAATGGGTGCCACATCCGCTGAACGAAAGACAAATGGAAAACCGAAAAGTCATCAGTAAAATGTTGCTTCAGTGGCACCAAAAAAAAGTATTTTTTTGCATTGAACTGTGATTGGCAATGAAAAGTGGATTTATTTTGAGAATCCCAAACACACAGAATCATGGGTAAATCCAGGTCAACCATCAACATCGACTGCAAGGCCAAATCGCTTCGGAAAGAAGACAATGCTCTGCGTTTGGTGGGAGTTGGTGGGATTTGGTGGGGTTTGGTGGGATTTGGTGGGGTTTGGTGGGGTTTGGTGGGATTTGGTGGGGTTTGGTGGGGTTTGGTGGGGTATTATGAGCTCCTAAAACCAGGTGAAACCAATACTGATCGCTACCGACAACAAATAATCAACCTGAACCATGCTTTGATCCAGAAAAGGACCAGAATGGGCCAGAAGACACGGCAAAGTAATTCTGCTTCACGATAACACCCATCACAGACTTCAAAACCAGTTAAAGACACGTTAAAGATCTTGCCTGGGAAGAATGAACCCTCCCGCCGTGTTCACCAGCCCTCGCTCCTTCAGATGACCACGTGTTCCGATCGATGGCACACGCCCTGTCTGAGCAGCACTTCAACACGTGTGAAGACGTGGACAACTGGGTCTCTGAATGGTTTGCCTCGCGACAAGAACAGTTCTATTGGACGGTGCCCACAAACTGCTGGCCGCCGGGGGCACCAGTGAGCGGCTTCTGACCAGGCCGCGGGGCGGGCAGGCCGCGGGGCGGGCAGGCCGCGGTGTCCCCCCGCCTGCTGCACAGGCGACCTGAGGGCGCTCCGGACACCGCATCCCACCAGGGCCACCGTGCCCTCGCAGGACATGACGCAGCATCCAAACAGAAGCAGCGAATGGCCGTCTAGAAAGTTCCATCCCAGAGGGGAGAATCCTGCACGTTTTCCTGCTCCCCTCCCCTCCCCTCTCGCCCCGCACTCCTCCGGGATGCGGGGTTCGTGGGGGGGGGGGGGGGGGTGACCCTGCGCTGCTCACCGCGCTCTGATTCAGCGGAAGGGGAATGTCCACCGACCCTGAGAGATGCCCCCGTCCGCCCTGTCCACGGACACCAGGGGAGGGGCCGGGCCGCATCGCCCAGACCCGTCAGCAGGTGCCGTTCACCTTGAACTTGGCTGCCTTTTCCCAGGCTCCCTCCACGCTGTCCGGCCGCTGCGGGAAGGGGCCTGCTGGCCAGGCGGCCCCGTACTTACATTGCTGTCTTCCAGAAACTTCAGCGCCTTCGCGATGTTGTTGAGCCGGAAGATGCGGTGGGAGGAGGACTTGTACTCGTGGAGCTGAAACAAACCAGATGCGTCAGCCAGCGTGGCCGCCCGCCCGCCGCCCGCCGCTCACATCCATCTGGGGAAGTCGGGTCCCGCCGAGCCCACCCCTTATTTATGGGACCTGGTACTTCACAAGGCCGAGCCGGTGCGTGGGGGACCCCGGGGTTAAGCAGGCGACAGAGGGGCCAGGCTCTCTCTCTCTCTCTCTCTCTCTCTCTCTCTCTCTCTCACCCAGTTCCCGGCCTTTGATCGCCTCCCCCTCAGAGCCCCCGGGCCGTGCTCTGCTCCCACTGACGGTTTCCTGAGAGCAGAGCTGCTAAATCACCGCCAGCCCCGCCGGGGCAGATGTTCCGTTGGCTGGCCTAGAGCTTCCTGAACAGGGATTCCCGGTCAGAGAGACAGAGGAGAGGGGGAGGTGAGACAGAGACAGACAGAGGAGGAGGGAGGGGGCGAGACAGAAAGGGGGGAATACAGAGAGAGGGGGAGAGACAGAGTCAGGGAGAGAGACAGGCAGACAGAGAAAAGGGGGGGGAGAGAGAGAGAGGGGGGGGGGAAGAAGGAGGAGGAGGAGGAGGAGGAGGAGGAGGAGGAGGAGGAGGAGGAGGAGGAGAAAGACAGGGAGGGAGGGGGGAGGTGCTTGCAGAAGCCCAGCCCCAGTGATGCTGGCCACACAGGAGCACCATCAGGATAAACATCTACATCTTGATGGGGCAGGGCCAGCCTTGGGGGGGGGGGGGGGAAGGGGTTGCCTCTTATCAAAGTGCAAGGGTTCAATTCCGTTCTGGTCATACTTATAAGAAGGTTCTAGAAGCTGGCAGTTCGTTTCAGCCTTGGGATGGATGGTAGCATTTGGTTGTGATATACCTTCCCATCATCCTAATTATTATTATTTTTTAAAATCTTTATTGTTGAAAGTATTACATGTCCTCCTGTCCCCTCCCCATTGACTGCAGCTAGCTCACCCACGCACCCCCCCAGGCCTCCACCCCCTACTGCCTGTGTCCATGGTGATGCATATGTGCACGAAGGTCTTTGCTTCGTCACGTCTCACCCCCACCCCGCCTTCCCTCTGAGATTCTGCACTGGTCCATGCTGCTATGTCTCTGGACCTATTCTGTTCATCACTTTAGTTTGTTCATTAGGTTCCACATATGAGTGCGGTCACATGACGCTGGTCTTTCTCCGACGGGCTTATTGCGCTTAGCACGATGCTCCCGGCCCCTCCGTGCTGTCTCCAGCGCGGAGGCTCTTTCTCTCTGGCCACCACCCTGCTTCTTCGCTGTCGCTCTGGTCGTACAGGGCCAGCCAGTTCTTACTCTGCCTTATCATACTCACAGGAGACACCGGGCACGTGTTCATCTACCGACTAACGGATATTAGCTATAGGAAATGAAAAGGGGGTACGGCGAGGTCCGGCGGGACCGCGTCAGTCTGATCACCGAGGAAGGACCGTCCCACAACCCCCTCCCCCCGCGGTGCGCCGTAGGACGTGCGTGGGCCAGGACGCACTCGAGCGTGGGTCTGAGCTGACCGAAGCCACCAGCGCCGCCTCCCTTGGCGTTAGCTTTCTCCCTGACCCTCCAGCGCCGTCCGTACCAGATTCCGCCCGGACAGGACCTCCAGCAGCGCCATCAGGATTCTGCCGTCTTGGATGTCCAGGAATAAATCTTTAACTTCCAGAGGAGGGTCGCACTGTGCAAGGAGCGGGAGGAGACAGGCGATGAGAGACCAGTAACTCCCAGAACCAGTTCCCTGTGCAGCTGTCACTCCGGAGAGAACTTCCCAACACCCACATCTGTCCACGGGCAGTCAGGCCCACCACCCACAGGGGCATAAGCCCCCTCCCCAGGGGATGCCCGAGCAGCGGGTGGCCGGGGAGCTGCGGGGAGACTGTGTCAGGGGCGCCATGGAGCGAGTGGCCCAGGGGGACCCTTCTACGATGAGATCTCAGACCCCAGTGTCCTATGACACCCACATGCTCTTCGGGTAGAAAGGAAAGGCATGCCAGAGGGATACAGCCTCCTGCTGGAAGAACTATCGTGTTTCCCCGAAACTAAGACATCCTCCGAAAATAAGACCTACTTACAGGTTTCCTTCTGAGTGAAATATAAGGCATCCCCCGAAAATAAGGCCCCCCCCAGGCTAAACATGAGAGATTTGGTCCACTGATTCTGAAAGAAACGGAGTCACAAGAAATTCACCAGGAAGTTCAGGAATCGGATTGTTATGATGTTCCAGAAGATGATGACATGATTGTCATTGAATAAGTGAGTCAATTCTTGATACTGTAGGATTCACAGTTTGTCTGGTTTGTGTTGACAACTACCGTACTACCGTACCGAATACAGGTAATAAACTTCCTTTATTTTCATTTAACAATAAATGTGTACCGTATTCTTCTTCATGGAAAAATAAGACATCCCCCGAAAATAAGACCTAGTGCATCTTTGGGAGAAAAATTAATATCAGACACTGTCTTATTTTCGGGGAAACAGGGTAATTCTAGAAGCAGGCTCGCATCCAACGCCCTGGGGCAAGCCCTCCGCCTCGCTGAGCGGGCCCGAGGCTACAAGAGGCTGAGCGACATGCCTGGTGCGGGCGACTCGGCTCCTTGGTGCAGCCCTGCTCCTCACAGGTCACACGGGCTGACACAGTGCCGCTCGCACCCACCCCGAGAGGGCGTGACCCGGGTCAGTGACCCTTGGGCTTCGGTCCCGATGTCGGCAGGGCTCCCTGGTCCCAGCATTATGTCTCCCTGAGGGGCCCATGGTCACATCCATGTGCAGTCCTAGTCTGGAGGTGGGCCCCCCGCAGAGGGACCCGGGAGGAGGCTGGTGCTGACGGACACACCTCCGGACACACAGCCGGACACACAGCCGGACACACGGCCGGACACACGGCCGGACACACGGCTGGCCCAATGATGCTGGCAGTTGGGTGAGGGGAGAGGCCGGGATCTCAGCGTCTGAGAAGCTGAATTAGATGCACATCTACATGTGCAGCTAGACATCGTACCACATGCCCACTAGAGCAGACTGAGCTAATTAAGATCGTATTAAAAGTTAACCAGTGGCCGTGACCGGTGTGGCTCAATGGATAGAGCGTCGGCTTGGGGACTGAAGGGTCCCAGGTTGGATTCCGGTCAAGGGCATGTACCTTGGTTGCGGGCATATCCCCAGTAGGGGGTGTGCAAGAGGCAGCTGATCGATGACTCGTTCTCATCAATGTTTCTAACTCTCTATCTCTCCCTTCCTCTCTGTACAAAATTAATAAAATATATTAAAAAAAAAAAAAAGTTAACCAATGGATGGTGCCTGCCTCTTCCCTCCACCACCCAGGCCTCCTAAGACACACTGTTCTCTCAGGATGCACCTTAAGCCCGTCCCACTCAGAGGCAAGGGGTTAGACACTCCTGAGTTCAAATCCAGGTCTGCCCGCAACTGAACTTGGCCTTGGGCACGTTCCTTCAGCTCCCTTGGCTCCAAGGTCGGGATTGGGATGTGACCCGCCCCAGGGGACAGAGCTGCAGTGGGTACAAGTCCTGTCCTCCGCACAGCACCTGCGCCCAAACCAACACCACCGGGCAAACCAGTTTCCTGCAGAGCGGCTGCCTCCCTGCAGCCTCGAGGTGCCAGGCATGCCTGCCTCAGGGCTGAGTCCGTCTCTGTGCCCCACTGCTTCTCGCTCTGGGCTCCCGGGCCAGTAAATGGCCCCTGGGCCCTAGCGCACCAGGCCCTCCCTGCTGCCCGGAGGAAGGCTCCTCTCCGCACGGGACCTGGGGTGGGAGGGCCTGGCCAGGAGGAGGCAGACACCCCACTCCCAGCCCGGCCTTCTCCCGAGCCCTGACGGGAGGCTGCTGTCTGGTGTGCTGCGCCCACCGAGGGTTTGGCTTCACGGGGCCCGGAGTCCACAGGCCGCTGGAACTGTGGGTCGGATGCTCCAGCGCAGGGATCTGCACACTGGGCTTCCCCGGCCCCCAGGTGCCCTCTGGGGGCTGGGGGCCGAGAAGGAGGCTGAGCCATTGCGCCCCCTTCATCCAAGAGGCCCCCCTCCTAGGGGCTTTGTTCAGGGCTCGTGTGAGGCTTTGCTTAGAGAAAGGTCTCTGTGAACTGACGCTTTCAGGCCGCCTGGGGAAGAGCTACTGCAACAGACCCTCAGGGAACAGATCCACAAACCTGCATGCTAATGAGCCCACCCAATGCTAATGAGCCCCACTCCATGCTAATGAGCTTCCACCCCATGCTAATGAGCCCCACCACACGCTAATAAGCCCCACCCAATGCTAATGAGCTCCACCCAATGCTAATGAGCCCCCACCTGATGCTAATGAGCCCCACCCAATGCTAATGAGCCCCCACACAATGCTAACAAACCCCCACCCAATGCTAACAAGCCCCCACCCAATACTAATGAGCCTCCACCCAATGCTAATGAGCCCCACCCAGCACAGATTCCCCCTGCCTTTCAGGGCGGGGGCCTCTGGCGACACTGACCGGCTAGGCCGGTGCTCTCTGCTCCCGGGACAGCGGCAGGTGCTGTCCACAGAGGAGATGAGGACATGGTGTAAGGGGGGGGGGGGGGGGCAGCTGTGAACCCGGAGACTGCGGTGGAGCTGGGGCCCGGGCACCCTTTCCTCCGGAAGGCTCCTCCCCGGCCAGCCTGGAGGCCTGTGGTGTCTGTCCTGTGAGGGGCGGGGGGTCCAACACGGCGAGCCCACCACAGGTGCTCAGCAAAGGGCAACGGGACGGACTCTGAGCCGCAGGCCGGTCTTTCCCTGCAGACTCCTGCAGCCCGGGGCCGGTCCTCCAGGAAATGTTTCTCCTGCTAACGGGAGGCGGCCATGGAGAGACCGAACCAACACCCCTGACGGACGGACAAACAGCTCTGCAGCGAGCAGCCCGCTGTGGCCGAGCCCGTGTGCGAGCACAACTGGGCGGCGGCGGCAGCGCAGGGCCTTGGCCGCCGTCCACCCGCGGGAAGGCGGGGGCGGGAACGGCTCCAGGACAAACACGCCGGGGCCCAGCGCTCCGAGGGCTTCATGGGATCGGTATGGCCGCGCAGACAGCACCCCCAGGGCTTTGCTCATGACCTAACCCTCCGGTAAATGAGGGCTTTCTCCAGGAGCCGGCCGCGGTAAATATTCCTGACAGCCTTCAGATTGCAGGTGAGCCCCGCTCCCCGCGGAGGCCTGCGCTTCCTGCACATGAAAGGCTGCTCTTGAAGGCCCCGGGGTTGGAAGCGGGGCTGTTAATTTCGCCCCGTTTATTAGGCCTCAGTTCCAGGTGCTGCCTGATTTATCCCCCGAGCGGGCGCGGCCACCTGCCCGCCGACGGCTGGGCCGGCCAGGCCGGGAGAAGCCCCCGCAGGACAGACGCTGACGGGGCGCGTGGGGGGGCGGGGGTGAGCCAGTGCGCGGGGACTGGCTCTGTTCCCCTGTGCCTCCCTAGACTGATTTTTTAATTAAAAGCAAAAACAAAACAAAACAAAAAACACACCAAAAAAAAAAAACACAAAACCCACAACAGAAGGGAAGAAAGCCGCCTGGCTGCCCTCACACACCTTGGGAATTGGGGTTCAGAGAACTGGGGGGACCGGGACTTCTTCCCGGAAACCCTCTTCTCTCTCTGAGCCGAAAACGCACCCCCGTCAAACACCTGGCAAACGGTTTCTACCACTTCACCCATGACAGGGAGCCCCTCCCCTGCAGAGGTCAGGACCCCCTGGGTCAGGTGTACCCCACCCTACAGGGGGGGGACAGAGGCGTGGGTGGCCGGGCGCTGCCGGGAAAACACCCCGGGCTGTGAAAACCAACTCCGTGAAGGAGAATTTCGGCCAAGGGCCCCCGCGCCCCACACGCCCCGGGGGGTCTCTGTCTCGGGACAGTCAGCAGTTCCTCTCGCCCTGCGGGAGGGCGCCCACGAAGGAGACTCGCCTGCCTGATCACCACGTGGGCCGTGGGCGCTGGGCGGCCTGTGTGGAGGCCCGGAGGGCGGGGTGTCCGGAGGAAGAAGGGATGTGAGTGGGGGAGTCCCGGTAAGAAAGCTTTCAGGGGTTGAGCATCGACCTATGAACCAGGAGGCGGGCCCTCGTTCGATTCCCGGTCAGGGGGTCAGGGCTGCGGGCTGGATCCCCAGCGGGGGGCGTGCAGGAGGCAGCCGATCCTCACTGATGTTTCTCTCTCTCCCTCTGCCTTCCTCTCTCAAAGCAATCCATAAATATAAGTAAAAAGGTCGACCTTTCCTTCCCCAGCTGCACTGACAGCGCCAGGAGGACAGGACTGAGCCTTACACCTGGGTCCCGGCCTGCACGTGATGCCAGGCGTGAGCACACACTCGCGGGGGTTAAATGAGTAAATGACAACAGAGACAACAACAACGGAAGGACCTCGGCCCTGCGCCCCTCACCCCCCACCGGGCTGTGAGCTGCACTCGGTTACGGGTGAGCCTCCGTCCCCACACCCAGGGCCGCTCACCTTCTCCAGATGCAGGTTTATCCACCGGGTGAAGGTCCTCTTCTGGACATCTTCCCGCTCCACTGAGGACAAAGGAACGCGTCAGCGGCACGAACACAACCGGGCCCACCTGCTCCTCCCCCGGGCGTGTGGGCGGACGGCAGGCAGCCCGGAGGGGCCCGGACGGCCCAAGGGGGCTGGCGAGGGGTTGGGTGGCACCTCGCAGCCCCATCCCCAGCACATCCCGTGGACGAAGCACCCACAGAATGAGACGCACAGAACAAAATGCTCTCCACGACCTCGCCTGAGCATCGGGGCATTGGACGCTGCAGCGTCAGGGGGGCTGGGGTGGCTCGGTGGTTGAGTCTAGGAACCAGGAGGTCACGGTCAGGGCACAGGCCCGGGTTGTGGGCTCGATCCCCAGTAGGGGGCGTGCAGGAGGCAGCCGACCCAGGATTCTCTCTCATCATGGATGTCTCTCTCTCCCTTCCTCTCTGAGATCAATAAAAATATATATCTATATTTTTAAAAAGAAGTGCTGGTGGTAAGACACAAATTACCTACAGGTGACGGCGCTGCGCACCCGCCTGGCCAGAGCCGTGGGGCTGAGGAGCGGGGCCCAGGAGAGATGGGCAGGCGGAGGCCAGGGATGAGGGACTGGGAGGCGGGCTCTGGGGTGGAAGAACTGACAGTCCTGGGTTTGGATTCTCACTCGGCCTTGTCCCCTCCCAATGTGGTGGTGGTGGTCAGCCACCCGTCCCCACGTCAGACCCACTCACTCCCGGGCTGCCCGAGAGACCCACAATGCCGCAGTCAACGCAACACAGCACCCGGAACAACAGCTGCGCATTACTTTACTTTCTTTAAAAAATAAATACATAAATAAAAATAAAATTATATATATATATAAAATTTTATTTTTTTATATATATATATAATTTTATTTTTATTTATATATATATATTATTTTTATATATATTGATTTTTTACAGAGAAGAAGAGAAAGGGAGAGAGTCAGAAACATCAATCAGCTGCCTCCCGCACACCCCTTCACTGGGGATGTGCCTGCAACCAAGGTACATGCCCTTGACCGGAATTGAACCCAGGACCCTTGAGTCCACAGGCCAACGCTCTATCCACTGAGCCAAACCGGTTTTGGCACTTTACTTATTTCGTGTTATTCTCTCTAGAGCCAGAAACAGGTGCCCTCCTCCCGGGAGGAGGGACCGGCAGGAGCCACAGAGGCCGGAGGATGGGAACCAGACGGCGCCTCCCTCACCGACAGCACCCGCCCAGGCTTCTCGGGAAAGAGCTCCCCTCTCCGGGGTCCCCGCCATCAGCTGTGTTCCCGTTCACCCTGACCCTGGCAGCACCGCCTGCGTGGGGAGACGGGGCCCAGACAGGCACCAGGATTGCCCAGGGCACCTGCCGGAGAGGCAGGACTGGGCGTCACCCTCAGGCCTGTCTGCAGCCCCCCCCCCCCCCACAGGCTCTGGGAAACGGGGGGAGGTGGGTCTGAGTTCAAATCCCAGGTCTTTCAATTACGGCAGAAACATCTGCGATAATAATGACGGGATTGAAAATATTCACCAAGCGCTCGCTCTGGGGCAGGGACCCAGCTAGGCCCTGCACACACACACACACACACACACACACACACACCCTGTTTACTGTTCCAACCCTTCCTGCCACGCCTGGAGGCGGAGGGAGACCTGGGCCACCTGGCAAGGTCACAGGAGGACAAAGGTCAAGGCCACAGGATGGCTGAGGTCACTGCTCCTAGAGTGCAGATGAGGAAACGGAGGGTCCATCACGAATAAGCAGCAGCGGTGGGACTGGGAGCCGAGGCTGCGCTCCCCACCCCTCCCAGCGCTGTGGGTCCCTGGCCCAGCGCTGGCCCGGAGGTGGGTGGGGATGTGGGGGTCTGGGTCCCGGGGCTGGGCCCGCCGGCAGCCCCGCCAGCTCCAGCCGCGACGCCTCCTGGAAGCGGACTCTCTAGTCACCGAGTGCTGGGTTTCACCAGCCGCGGACACATCACACGTACTTAAGGCCATTCCTCGTTTCTTCGGGAAACATTTCACAAGCAAACGGGAGGCCATTTGTCTCCTGCGGGAGAGAGGCGCCGGTTTTCTCCAATGACTGCGGCTCTCTTTCTCCCCGGCCCCATTACTGGGCAGATAGTGGGGCCCATAAATCAGATTTTAATATTGTGCCCTTCAATCTTCCTAATTGAAGGCCGGCAGACAGTAATTATGCTTTATGAGGCCGACTTTCCTCTCGCTTTCCTCCTTTCCTAGAAGGGAAGGCTGCTGGCGAGGAGGCCCAGGGATTAAATGTCTCATTCAGGTAACTGGTGCAGAGGAAGAGGAGGGAGAAAGGAAGCTGAGAGAAATGAGGTGGGGGGGGGGGGGCATGTGCTGAGGGCATGAGCGTCAGAGTCTCGGAGCTTTCCAGAAAGTCGGAGACGCCCTCCCCAAATCCCATCAGAGACCTCGGTGCCTCTGCAGCCTTGTCCACAGGCGGCATCCCGGAGGTTCGGGACCAGCTTCCCACTTTCACCGCCCCGAGCACCCTGTGGCAGCACCGTGTGCACAGCCTGTGCCTGCAGGTCTGTGCTGGACAACTAAACGGGAAACTGCAGGGTCTTGTGGTAGGCACATTTAAAGTTTTAATAGCTACTTCCAAACCGCCCTCGCAAAAGGCTGCCCCAGTTTATACTTTCGCCCCCAACTGTCTTTAAACAAGTTTATGGGATTGTAAAGTATTTACACACACGTCCTAGCACTCAGGCCGGCTTCTCCACATGGCGGCAGGGAGAGCGGAGTATGGAACAGGAGTGCATTCAGTGGGGGCCGGTAGGACCAGGGTGAGGCTGCCGGTTTCACTGTGCAGAAAGGCGTGAATGAGGAAGCAGTGTCCGTTAGTCTGTACGTGCCTCATCCATCTACCCCGCCATCTTTCCTTCCAACCATGTATTATCATCCATCCACCCATCCAACCATCTTTCCATCCATCCATCCATCCACCCACCCATCCACCCATTCTCCCATCTGATACTTATTCAATGAACTATGCCAGACCCTGCAGGTACAATCAGATAAAGAATTAAGTATTCACAGAATCAGCACTCCAATCATTCACAGCCAAGCAGGAGAGAAAGCACGGACAGCACGGAGCGCACATGGAAGAAGTGAATTAGGAGTTTCCAGGTGAGGGCACGCTTTCAGACCCCAGGGGGCGCCCCTCAGGAACGGGAGGATCCCACGGTACAAGTGGGACAGGTCGGGGCTCCTGAAGACTCGGACATGGTCTCACTCTGCCCCGACTCAGAGCCAAGCCCGGGGCCTGTCCTTCCATCCCGGCCAAGGCCAGTGGGCAAATCTGAGCACACACAGTTCAGCGTGGATAGCAAAGCTGACCCACAGGAGCGCAAGGTGGTGACTGAAGCTATGAGGGGGCCGTAAGGCTAAACCACAGCCTGGCCGGTGTAGCTCAGCGGTTGAGCATTGACCCAGGAACCAAAAGGCCACCAGTTCAATTCCCGGACAGGGCACATGCCTGGGTTATGGGGAAGGGGGGGGGGGGTGCAGTAGGCAGCCTATCAATGTTTCTTTCTCATCAATGTTTCTTCTAACCCTCCCTCTCTCTCTCTAAAAAGCCAATAAAAACATTAAAAAAAGAAAAAAGATGAAACCACGAATAACAGACGATTGAAATAACAGACCCAGATTGAATAACAGACCCAGATTGAAATTGGGTGCAGAGACCATATCTGTTGGACCTGAAACTGGGCCACATCACTCAGTACACAGCAGAGAGGGTGTGACTGTAGAACATCCACGTGAGAGACATTCACATCAGAGCCATCCACGTGGGCGACCTTGGCAAGTTCATTGCTTTCAGAAACCTTCGCTCGGCCCTCCCTCTGCAGAAGGGGTGACTGGGCCGCTCACCCAGACTTCACTGGACCACCTCCACTTTCCGGCCCTGCTCCCGGCCCGGCCCGGCCCGGCCTCGGGCGAGGGTGTCTGGTGTCCCACACAGAGTCCCCGCTCTTCCAGGGCTTTCTCTGCCGCCGAGGCCCCGCCCCCACCCGCAGGCCCTCACTCCCTCTGGCCTGCCAAGACTCCATAAACTTTATATAGTTTCCATAAACCCAACGGCCCCTTTTCCCACCGCCTGATCACGTTGTAAAGGCGCAGGAAACCGGTGCCCGGGAAGGTCTGGCCTTCTCACACGGCGTCTGTGGGGCCCTCTGCGGTTTCCTGGGCAACAAGAGTAGTAATGGAGGTGTAAAATGGCCATCCCGGCTCTGCCTGGCTGGCCAGGGTGCCCGGTGCCGGCCAGGGTGGGCGAGGAGCTCACCAGGCCCAGGACTCCGCGGACGGAGACGGGAAGGGAGGCCCAGCCTTCGGGCTCACTCACAAGCACCACCGCCAGGCGGGAGCGGGTCCAGACGCAGACGGTGTGGAAATGAGAAGCCACCGAGGGGGACACAGCTCTGAGCGCAAACACTGTCATTTACACAGAAGGAGAGGCCTTCTCTCCCTCTGCCCACAGTCCCCTCACACCCACATCCCATGTCATACTCCATAAAATGTCTCCTCTTTCTGCCCATGAGGAAGGCTCGGTGGCTGTACCCTATATAATAAAAGGATAATATGCAAAGTGACCTAACAGTGGAAAGACTGGTAGCTATGACATGCACTGACCACCAGGGGGTAGACACTCAACGCAGGAGCTGCCCCCTGGTGGTCAGTGCACTCCAGGGTGGGCGAAGCGAGCCCGACGCCGGGCTCATGGCTGGTGAGCGGAGCGGTAGTGGTGGGAGCCTAAGGATGCAGCACTAAGTCTGTCTGACTGTCCCTTCCCCTGGGGGAGGGGGCCTAAGCCGTCAGTCAGACATCCCCCAGGGGCTCCCAGGCTGTGAGAGGGCTCAGGCTGGGCTGAGGGACCCTCCCCCCACCTCGAGTGCACAAATCTCATGCACTGGGCCTCTAGTCTGTTTACAAAAACTATATACCGATTACAAACAATTAAAGCCATTAGGAAAGCATATAGAAATATACCTAAAATACCTTGA